TAAAAAGCAACTAAGTAACATAATTAGTTACTTTTTTATGGAGTAACGCAATATTGTAACGCACTACTTTTAAAAACTGTTTACGTGCACCCAAATAACCTGTTTATAATCGGACTGATGACTCAAGCCAAAAATACGTTCTAAGGAAGTTTTTCTAACATTGAATTAAGTTGTGAAAACATTATTTCTGAATGTTCAGTTTCTAAATGTTTAAAAAAAAAAGTTTATTCTTAAAGGAAAGATTATGGGAATGTTATACTTGAATGTTCTTTGGATGTTTTGAAACAAGTAGCCACATTTTAAAAATATTAGGCATTAAACGACCAACCAACATGTTCCATGAATGATGCGTAAATAATGTTTTTGTGCTAACGTTTTAATATTATTAAAGACCAGATAACTTTGAATAAACGTTCTATCAACGTTACTGGAAGAACATTGTTCATAACAACCTCAAAGATAAAGTTCTGGGAACGTTCCGACGAAAACAACTCAGTTGATCTGAACTAAATTGAAAGATGTGATGTATACCTGAAATAATCTGATCAACAACTTAAGCATCTAAATGCTTGAATATGACTATTTTCTCAATTTGATACCATACAATAATGCATGTTGCATAGCCTATACATTATGAGCTGGTCAGTGTAGGCGACTGAATATTTACTAAACTCATGTTAAAAAAGCTCATCAAGGCTAAAATGTAGTTATGCTCTGGTGACATTATTGCAGTGGCTTTCTTTGTTTCTGAATGTTATGACTTCTGAGTCATAACGAGCCTCATAACGTGAATGACTTAATTGAAGAACTGTTACATGTTGTTGCATCACTCGAGCATTTGACTCCATCATGTATTTTCCATTGTTTTCCATTCTTACCAAAAAGACCATCTTGCTACCCTTACGAAAAAGAAGTTTATTCAAGTGTGCTATTAGTATACTTCTTTTAAACAAAAAATAGGAAAGTATACTTTTAGTCTACTTTTTATGTACTTCTCAGAAATGGGCTTTATGTACTTCTCAGAAATATACTTAAAATGACATTTAAGTATACTTGACTTATACTTAGAAAAAGTCTAAATATATTTAACTTGTGCTCCTAGAATCAGTGTTTTCAGTGTTATACTGTAGAGGGCGCTAGTACACATCTTCTGTACAGAATTTCCAAAAAACACAAGTGAAGAAGAAAACGAAACAACAGATGCTTCCACATGTAATCTAACACGATCATCAGACATAAAACAGAACTTGAAGTATACTACTTTTTGGTAAGGGTAGTGTTTAGCTAGTCTAGTTTTCAGAAGCTCTGTCTGGTTTTCCAAGGTTTGGTCAAGCTGCTCAGCAAACTGGTCTTCAACCCTGAACTGGTGATAAGGTTAAAACCTCTCTAAAACCACCAAACTAGATCAGTCTGGCAATCAGGTAATGCCAGAAAGAGCAGCCGGTTTATGCTGGTTTAAGCTGAAATGCCAGATTCTTATGATTCATATTTGCCTTTCTAATCTTCTGGTCTGGCATTTATATTTTCTCTCTCTCGTTTGCTGTCATCTTTGCTCTCTTCCCGTTGAGGGCTTGCAGACCTCATGACTGTTCTCTCAGTGAAGCAAATCAGCTCGCGCACGTGTTTACTCTAAAACCGAAGCACACGTATTACTTGGCGCTCTGCTGAAAATGGCTCCTCGTTGTGTTTTTAATCTGATGTCATGTTAGTGGAATTCACTAATAGGTCTCTGACTCGATCTTATTTGGCGACATTTTCTCACTGCAAACACACAAGCATGTAGTCTATAAACTGCACAGTTCACACTGACTAAAACTGTTTTTCACACCAGTGGTCTCTCAAAATGTAATCATTATTAAAAACATTGTTATGCAAAAGAAGCCATTCCTTGACTGATCTGAAAAACAAACAAAAACTAAAATGCATGCATGCATTTATTTATTCATGCATGCATGGATTAATTCATATTTATATATGCAATCTAGGGCATCAGCTGGTGACAAAAAAATAAAAAAATAAAAATAAGAATAATAATAAAAATCTTTTGTTGCTTAGCCAGCATCTCATAGCATTCTAACAAAGGCTCATTGTGTTCTGGTTTGTCCCTCTTGTAAACTTTGGCATCACTGTCTTTTTCAGAAATTACATGTTTATTGGTTTTCATATTACATATCAAAGCAGGCTGATACAAAACAAAAATGTATTATCAATTTATAATGGAAAAATCATGTGCCAAAGCCAAGCTACCCTTTGTAGTCATCTGTTCAAGCTTGCGCGTGTGTGTTTTGGGGAAGGAGAGGCATTCTTTCCCGTTTACCTGCACTTTAAGTATTTAACTGTGATGACTTTAAGTGTAGATTGTTGTTTAAAACATACGCTGAGATGCATTTTTGCTCTGCTTCTGGGGTTCCAGAGTTCTCATTACTGGCCTAATTCTTAATCAAAATGTTGTTTCGCTACAACAAAACCGCTGGCATTCAGTACAGTACATGTTCTGTGCAAACGCAGACGGCAGATGGGAAACTTTCCCTAAAACTCTGCCACTTTAGCAGTTTCATGAGTGTGTGGCAGAATTGTATTTTCCAAGCGCTTCAACTGAATTTGGTTTGTCTGAAGTCAAAAAATGAAACTGCACTTGCACTAAAAAAGCTGGTATACACTTCAGTCTTTATTTAAAGATCCAGTATGAACTCTAAGACACAAAAAATAAAACCGACAACCACAACAATGATAACAACAACTCAAAGAGATTGATATACACAAAAGCAGATAGCAACCAGACACAAATTTACTGTCTACACTATAAACAATGTTATAATATTCATTTATGCAGAGTATAAAGAGATACGATAAGACAAGTCTGTTCTGCATTTGATCTGGATCTTGATCATGGAAAACACTGTAACATGTTTTCATAATAAAAGAACTGCTCACCACAGAAAGGAATTCATTTAGCTTTGGTTGAAAAGCGTGTGATGCATCACAACACACGCTCCATTCACACACATCCGACGACCCTCACAGAAAGCTTGTTTTGTATGCATTTAACTGAATTTATTCGATTATAGCATATGTGTAGGCTGTTTGTCGTTTAGGGCTCTTCAAGCGTAGCGTCATAAGGAGCTCTTTTTCACTGCATATGTTTAACTTTCTCTTTCCGAGGTAGGTACGGATTGAATTAAGATTGTCAGTAACATCAAGTTATGCAATGTTAGCTTTGCAACAGTAGTGTCAACTAAGTCTGTGTTCGATTTAACGATCAAGGCATAAATCTCAATTTCAGATACAAAGAAATATGAATTCCTGGAGTGTAACACAGCAAGTACAGCATTTCCCTCCACACAGTACATGAGAACAGTGGGTATGAATATGATATGATAAAATAAATTCATTTCTTACCTAGATAATGGCATGCATTAGTGGGTTAACTGTATCATATATTTCAACCTGTGGCAGCTGACCAGTGTTGGCAGTTAAAGAAACAATAGATACGTTCCAACGTGGACGTCAGTACAAGTAAATCTCACAAAGGACGGTTTACAAGCTTAACACTCGAGGAATATTCCTGGCTTCAATACGAGTTCAATACGACAGCACTTGTGACATAATGTTTCTGCAGCTTAAATAACAGATCATGGCATTAGAATTCCCAGGGAATGCATGAACTGACAAAATGCATACATTGAATGCAATGCAATTCTTTTTTTTCTTTTTTTTGATAAAACTGTCTGATAAATGCATAAATGTAAATGTAGCTCACGCAGTTAGTAACAGCAAGGTCATGGGTTCAATTCTCAGGGAATGCACTGACTGAAAAAAATTCATATCTTGAATGCGGTGTAATTCACTTTGCATGAAAGCATTTGCCAAATGCATAAATATAAATGTAGATCATGCAGTTAGCAACAGCAAGGTCATAGGTATGATTCCCAGGGAATGCATGGACTAATGAAATGCATACCTTGAATGCAAAGCAAGTCTTTTTTGGATAAAAGGTAAATGCATAAATGTAAATGTAGATCATGGCACTAACAACAGCAAGGTCATGGGTTCAGTTCCCAGGGAATGTGTTGACTTTTAAAATGCATACCTTAAATGCAATGTAAGTCACTTTGGATAAAAGCATTTGCCAAATGCATAAATGTTAATGTCAAAAAATGATAAAATTAATATCCTGAATGCATTGTAAATCACTTTGCATAAAAGCACCTGTCAAATGCAAATGTAAATGCAGATCAACAGCAATGTCATGGGTTCAATTCCCAGCGAATGCATGAACTGATAAAGTGTATACCTTGAATGCAATGCAGTAAATGCATAATTAATGTTGATTGCCACCAAAAAAAAACTTTTTCTTTAAAAAGCATTACAGTTTTAAATCACTTACAATGGAAGCACTTTCAATAGTAAAGCCACAAGAGGTATGTAATATGCATGATTTTTGTGCAGAAAATCGCCAACATTTTTTCTGCGTAAAGTTACATCCAATTTTACAATTTCATTGCCATGACAATGCTAAAATCACAGCTCAAATGATGCACAATTTTTAACAGAAGATTTAATGTAAGTGCTTTTATAAATGCATAAGGTTTCAAATCATCCAAAAGTTTGCCCCATTTACTTTCATTGCAAGTGGTTCAGTGTAATTACTCAGTGTAAATTATTTGTGGTGGTAATCAACATTATGCCACACATTATGTCTGTTAATTCTTGTATTGAACCTGAAATATTAATTTAATCACAGAAAACCAAACTGATAGAGCTTCAGCTGCTTGTAGGGGAACATCTCAAGTATGGTCTGAATTTAAGTAGTTTGCTTTATTGCATTCTCAATGGACTGACATACAAGGCAACATTACAATCCAATTGAATGTAAATCACAGCAGGTTAAGTAAAAGACTATAATAAACCTCCAAGGTAAAAACACCTTGATAAACTGCCTCCAGCTTTTGGATTCAAGGCATTTATTCAAAGTGCTTTAATCCCAAAGCTATTTTTTTCCAGGTCCCTCATTCAAACTAAAACCACTTTTTACTTAATAGGTTAGCTGGAGGATGACTGACAGGCAGGCCGTTCTCTCATACGACTCTTTCTTCAGTATTGCACCTTCGCTAAAGTGGCACAGACAAAGAGAGAGGTTTGGAAAAAAGAGGATTGTTTCCAGTTGCTGATTTTCCTGATCTGAATGACAGAATTACAGTACAACAGTGCCATGCCTGATCTCACTTTGCATTCCAGCGATGTAACCCACTTAAAAATGGTGAAGGAATTAGACTTAATTGGGGGCAACGAGTGTGTGTTTTTATGAAAAATCAGGGTTAATGGGGTGGATGGAAGGAAAATAGATGTTGGTCTGCGGTGTGCTGTGAAGTATGGGATTCCTCAGTGTGTGTTTGGTTTTGCGTGATGTTGTGATTATGTGTGCTCGTTCCTCCCAGTTTCACAAGAACGGCACAAATACGGGAACGAGACAAATGCAATAAACAATCACAGACGCACCAGGAATTCCATTCACATTGCAATGGAACAGCGCTTCCATGGAGATTCATCCGGATCTGACAGATCATGACCTATAGGAGCAGAAGAAACAATCATTTGCTCTGTTGTGTTTCATAGATGTGGAAAATTAAAGGCTCTTTATTGGCATTGATGGTTCCATGAAGAACCTTTCCATTGACCAAAAGGTTCTTTATAGTGGAAAAAGGTTCTTTAGATATTAAAGCATTACGAAAAACATGGTCCTTTTAAAAACTGATCAACAAGAACCCAAAATGGTCCTTCTATGGCACTGCAGTGAAAACTCCTTTTGGAAACTTTATTTTAAAGCGTGTAGATGAATATATGCTACACATTATGGAGCTACTGATCCATTAACACACATTTAAAAAGCAATGTGTACTTACTGGGAGATTTTGCAGTTTGTTGTCTTGACAAAGCGGCCTGTGTAGTGGATATTGCACCTGACTACATTGTTTGTGTAGTCCGACTCATGCACCAAGTACTTCGGGTTAACCTGGAGCTGGAATTTAAACAGAATTTAGACCTTCAGTGCTGTGAAAAAGTAAGTGCACCCCATACAATATATATGTGACCACATTATTACATATTTTGGACATGCAGGGCCTAAAATTAACACTTTCCAAATGCAAGCAAAATTCAGAGTTGGTGAGTACACAAAGCAGTGCTACTCAACAGCTGGCTGGTTACTTTTTTTATTATTATTAATTTTAACAAGGCCTGAGAACATGGTTAATTGTCGATTATCAAACAGCAAAGACTATGTTGTAATGCAAACAACTTCACATTTTCTAATGAAAATGGTTTAGAAATCTGTTGTCAACAAAAGAGAAGCATTTCAAAAGAAAAGTTTCCCGGTGGCTTTCCACCAAAATAATTGCTCTATGGTTTAACATTTAAAAGCAAAGAAAAAATAACCATAAATATTAGTGTTTTAATTGTACTGTTGTTACTAATTGTTGTTATATAGTAATAATAATAATAATAATAATAATGATAATAATAATAATTATTATTATTATTATACAATAGTAATTTAGTGATATTTCTTTATTGGTTTGGGTTTAAATAAATAAATAAATAAATAAAAATAAATAAATAAATAAATAAATAAATACATACATACATACATACATACATACATACATAAATAAATAAATGCATACATACATACATACAGACATAAATCACCGGCCATTGGCAGAAGTAGAAAAATGTTAGTTTTAGGCTCTGGTGGACAGTATTGATGGCTGAAAGTGGGATAAATTTAACATAAAACAATGAAAAGTTGACTGTGAAATCTTTTCCTCAACAAAAATATATGCAGAAAAGCACCTTTCATCTGTGCAAAAAAGTAAATAGCCCCTACATTTAGTAGCTAATTTCTGTCTATCAGTCTCTTGCCTTGACTAGGAAACATTTTTGGCAATTCTTCCAATTTCTGCAGAGACTGCTTGCCGTTCAATCCTCCACTGCTATGAAAGGATATTAAAACTTAGCCTCAGAGTAGAAGGTAACGGCGACCGCTTTTAACAGCGGTGTACTTCATCTGTTGTGTTGTAGTTTTGCTGAAGGTCGGAAAGTGAGCGGCTGGGATCTGCCTGAAGAGGCATGTCTGTATCTGTCTTATTTATGAGCACAGATAACAAACAGAAGAGTTGGACGACATGCGTGACATCAAACGTCTCCTCGTGCCAAACCTTTAGCGAGACGTGTTGTATTCTGTTGATGTGTTAGAAATACGAGATATTCTCTGAGAAGACTCTCTTTGAAGGTTATGAAAAACGCGTTCGGTGTGAAATAGAAGACGGAGTGTAAATGTTTTGGCCATCTACCTTGAGTATATAGTTTCCTGGCTGAACATCAGTGATGTCAATCCATTGGCAATCAATATCTGCATTGTATGTGTCATAGCAACCTGGACTGAGACCCTGGAATATTAAAACGAATCTAAACATTAGTGTAATCAAAAAACAATGGCATGCTGATAATTTTATTATCAATAATAAATAAGAGAATGTGTCTCAGAAGTGCACCTGGGTGTGTGAAGTACAGGCGTATCGTTTGAGATGGCCGAAGTCGCAGGTCGTGTCCTCCAGACAGAAGCTGGCCTTGTGTCCCTCCGCCACCTTCCGGCCGCTGCTGACCTCTAACAGATCGTAGTGACTGAACTCATCCATACTGTGGTAATGTCTGATCGGAGAGAGAGAGAAGAGACGACACTGACATGAAAGAAGGACCATGGCTATGCCACCTAGTGTTATTTTATTATTATTATAAAACGGATAGTTCCGGTCCTTGATTCTGATTGGCTGAGCCATGTTCGAAGCTGTTGTAAATTACTCTACAAAGTAACATACACCTTTGTTTACGTTTGTGTGTTGCTCGGCAACCACTTTGTTGCAACCACAACTGATTCTGAGGAACTACATTATTTGGTGGAAGAATACTGTTTTTATTAATATCATTACACTTTATTTGCTCGGTTTTATTTTGTGAAACCTAACTACGTATATGGAATAACCGTTTTATAAAAGCAATAAGCCCCGTGAAGCCGTGGTTTACAGTGAATTTATAACAGCTAAGGGGGTTAACTCCGCTTCGCGTCATACCTAACAACGCCCCTTAGCTGTTATAAATTCACTGTAAACCACGGCTTCTTGGGGCTTATTGCTTTATTAAAACTGCAGTCCGTAGGTTTTGCCTCTTTGTCGCCATCTCTGTTTGAAACCTGCAATTGCAGTTATTTGCGGAATTATCTTCCTTGTGTGGGTTGTGCACCGGCATGAATCTAATGTTTTGATGTGAATGTGTGGATACTGTACTTAGGAATCACAGATTCTAGCCTATGTCTTGGAAGTATGACACAAATAAGAATTTTCACCGGAAAATGTCATCTGAACAAGTACGTAACAAGTCTGCCACTTTTGTTCTGACCAACTGAGGGAAAAAAAGCATTACAAAAAAATCGCGTTACCAATGGTGATTAAATCTAAGGATCACATAGCTTATATCACATCTAACTGTGGCAATTATTATTACTGTTATGCTTTGTTCTCAAATTGTTAAGGTTAAACATTGCATGTATGTAGTGTGTATTAGCGTTAGACTGCATGTAGATTTCAATTTCTGTACAGTCTAATCTCTAATTGTCATACCATTCAAATTTCATATAAAGAAATTATTTTAACTCAAAAAGCAAATTATTCATCCTTAGAACTGGTTCTCTTTAAAACACAAATCTTGTGTAATCCCACGTAGGCTATCTGTAATCAGATGCACATTTAAAACTGGAATATAATCTAATTTCAGTCACATGTGTTCCATAAACACAAACATTTTTGGATTACAATCCTCCATCAAAATGATACATTTCATTATTCCAGCTGCTGTGAGAAAAGGCTATAAACGATCCACCACCTGCAGCATCCATAGCATTACATTGAAGTACTTACTGTAAAATAATCTATGCATGTTAAAATCTCAATGTAAAAACCTCACTGTATCAATAGTATAGACAAAAGGTTAACAGCCATCAATCAAAAAATAAATAAAGCTCAATAAACATTGAAATAATAATTTAAAGCAATGCTCTGTGTTTCTGGTCAAGTCTTTGAAATGCATGACTATTCCAGCAGGTGCGTCAGCAGTCTGACTCTACGTGTGACGCCGCTGTTTCTTACCGTCTGTTTGGTCTTTTGGCAAAAGTGTTTTCTCGGAAAGCTGTGGTAATACCTGAAGGACTGCGGCAGGGAAAACAGGTACTTTCCTCTGACAGAGTTCAGAGTTTCCACAGGGATACTATATTTCCCATAATATGCCAAGCATATTAAATCTTATTTGATGAGGGGATGACAGACATTTCAGGGGCCGGTTGCCAAATCCCTGAGCAAACTAATGACACACACACACAAACACACACAAACACACACACACACACACACACCACACACACATACACACACACAGCAGTGCTAACCACAGAAAAATTGGGCCAGCTAATCACTTAAGGCAACTCTCTTCTACATGTGCAACTGACTTATACTGAATCCAAATAAATATGAGTTATAGAGCAGTATTTAAACAATCACAAACTGAGAAGAAACCACCTGCTGTCATCTCACTAAAAGTAAAGAAATAAAGAAATATTACTGCTATCATAGTTAACTAACGACTTATTAACTACTTCCACTGCATCAAAATTTAAAATCAGTTTACTATATATTTGGACACAGGCACATTTTTATTTATTTTTTATTTTAGCTGCTCACCAAAACATATTCCAGTTACAGTTATATGATATGTATGGGCTTAAAGTGCACACTCAGAGCTTTATTTGAGGGTATTCTCATCACAATTGGAGGAAAGGTTAAGGAATTACAGCTCTTTAATATGTACCGTGCTAGGCTTCAAAAGATAGCAGGAACATCAGGAGCGGCCAAATCAACAGTTTGGTACATTCTGAGAAAAAAACAAGAACGCAATGGTGAGCTCAGAAACATAAAAAGACCTGGATGTCCACGGAGGACAACGGTGCTGGATGATCGGAGAATCCTCTCCATGGTAAAGAAAAACCCTTTCACAACATCCAGCCAAGAGAAGAACACGCTCCAGGAGGCAGACGTGTCTACAATCAAGAGAAGACTTCACCAGAGCAAATACAGAGGCTTCACCACAAGCTGCAAACAAGCACAGATTATAGACTTTGCCAAAAACATATAAAAAAGCCAGAGCACTTCTGGAAAAGCATTCTTTGGACGGCTGAAATTAAGATCAAGCTGTACCAGAATGATGGGAAGAAAAACGGCAGTTTTCATTTCAGCTGTTAGTAATGAGACGCCAAGGACACTTTCAGTCTCTACAAAAATATCAATCATGTGGAAGCGGAGATGTGCGAGTAATTATAGATTAGCTTCTGCTCACTGACAAACATCTCCCTGCAGTTCTTCTTCTCCAAAGAGAGTCAGGTGCTTGTTCGCATGGCGTCAGATTTAGGTTACATGAAAGAGGTCATCACACCGCTCAGCTGTCTAATTGCATTAGAAATGAGTTAAAGTGCTAAATACTTCATGTACTGACATTTCCAGGTTACATTAATAATCTGTTTATGAGCAAATGCTCACCAGCCGTATCGTCTGCACCTCGACTGAACTACAGAATTAAACTGTACTATTATTCACTTCCAATTTATTTTTAATAGGACTGTCTACCAAATAAAAAAATGCAATTAAATCAATTACATGATATACCAATTAAAATTATTTTAAAATGCATTACATTTGATCTCAATTAATGACATGCATCAATATAAAAAAAAAATTGTATAGACAAATTGAATATAAATAAATGCTGTCCTTTTGAACTTTCTATTCATCTGTGAATCATGAAAAATAAAATGTATCACAGTTTCCACAAAAATATTGTGCAGCACAACTGTGTTCAACATTGATAATAATCAGAAATGTTTCTTGAGCAGCAAATCAGCATATTAGAATGATTTCTGAAGATCATGTGACACTGAAGACTGGAGTAATGATACTGAAAATACAGCTGCGCATCACAGAAATACATTACAGTTTAACAGATATTCACATAGAAAACAGCTGTTTATTAGCAGTTATTTATAATAATATTTCACTGTTTTTACAGTAATTTTGATCAAGAAATGCAGCCCTGGTAAGCTGATTTCTTTCAAAAACATCAAAAAAAAAATATATATATAAGTGACCTCAAACTATGTAGAAGTCTATATATAGTCTCTCCCTGTCTTTCTCTCTATGTACTGTATAATCAGTAAGATTTATCAATATAATGTTCTTTTTTTAAAAATTAATTAGACTAAATTAACATGTTTAATTGACAGCCCTAATTTTTAATTGATCATCATTTTTATTTATTTTCTGAGGTGGATCATGTCAAGTTTGGGGACCCGAGCTTTCACTAGAACACGCCCATTATTTGGACCATTAACATTGGCAGCAGTGAGATACAGTGAGATCCTGAATCACACATTTTCAATGACAGATGACAATTTGAGCCGACATGAGTGACAGCCTTCATCGATGATGTTCAACACGATGCAAAACAACAATTCTCGCAAATTCTCGATCGCGACGCAGACATGATGTAATGAACAGCTACAGGTGAATAAACACAGACCTGACAAGTACTGACAGACATTCATTTTTTCACTTTTCACAGACATTCACTTGTCACGAGGCCCAGCTGATTGTACATGGAAATGTTATGGAAATCCCCTCGGAGGATAACAGCCCTTCGCCAAGTGAAACCAAATACATAAATCGACGACAAAATTCATTCAGATTCTGATGCAGGATAAGGAATATAAACCAATTGAATACATCCACAATAGGGACTATTATAATTCCGTTATTCTGGGACTTTTAATCATATTAAGGCAGAAATTGCATGGTGAGGGGGACAGAAATGACAAATGTAATACCTTTTTTTATTTAACTGGTTTTATTATTATTATTATTATTATTATTATTATTAAAATCTTACTTTTGATTGACTAAGAAATCAAATACACTGCTGGACAATAACAATGACTATAAATGACAATATTATTATTATTATTATCTCTTATATTTAATTGGCTAAGAAATCGAATACACTGCTGGACAATAACAACGACTATAAATGACAATATCTAATAATTTGTATTCTACCATCTTTTCCTTATATTTTCCTAATGACTGGTTTATATACTACAACCCCCCCCCCTAAATTATATGTGAATTAGCACGACATTATTCATATATTTTATGTATTTATTACCTGCAGCCACCCCTTTTTATCACATAATTAGGCAGAAAATATATTTTATAGTTTCTGTACTAAATTATATGTGAATTAGCACGACATTATTCATATATTTTATGTATTTATTACCTGCAGATGACTTAGAAAAACCCATATAAACCATATATTGTCACAATCGTGTGTTTATTGTCTACATGTTTCATCAGTCAAATCATTTCTGCTATTTATAAAGCTTAGCTACAGCGATCACTGAATGCCTTTGTCCTTATTAGGGATTTCCTTGTACTTACCTATTTAGAGTTTTTAGAAAAAAAATCATTTTATATACCTGTCAAGGAGTATATGATGGTAATTAATGCCATTCGCTCAGTGCTTAGGAAATTATTAGGAAATGATATAGACGAAAAAACAAATTTAGATTTGAGTCTTAAATTGGAAGGGAATAAATATAAAAGAAAAAAAAATTAATAATAATTTCATTTTCAAGCCAAATTTCCAGTGTTCCTTTAACCATTGGTTTTTGGAGATCACAATTTCATGATGTCAACTGGAAAGAGACCTTTAAGATCTCCAGACGTTTTTGTATCACACATAAAATTAGAGTGGTATCATTTAAGATTGTTCATCGTATTTATCCTGTAAAACAGCTAATTGCAACATTGTGTAAAGACATTGACTTGAAGTGTGTTTTCTGTAAAGAGGAAAATGAGAGTATTGTCCATTTATTTTATGATTGTATTTATTTTGGTGGTATTTTTTTGTTGTTTTGTTAAACAACGTACTAATATTGAATTGCAACTCAAAGAAAATGATGTTTTTTTTTTTTTTATGAGTATACTGTTGACTTAAAAATTTGGCATATTGTGAATTTATTCATTATATATGGACAATTCTTTATTCACAAATGTAAGTGGGCAGTGAAAAAAATTAATTTTACTCATTTTAAAATAGAAATACTGTATATCACTACCTGTATACATTAAAAGAAACAAGAAATAACAAAGCAAAAAAAAAAAGTAAATTATTTTAAAGCCTTAAATCTACTCTTTAAATAATTTGTAATAATTTGTACTTGTTTATGGACATGTGATTTTCTTATTGTTTTCCCTATTTTTATTGTTTTAATTTATTATTGTATTTGTTTTGATGTAATTTGTACATTATTTGTACAACAACAGTAATATGTTATTGCCCTTCTTTGTTCTAAAAAAACTAAAAAAGAATCCAACATTCAAGAATGGAAAAAAAAGAAAAACAAATATTAGGGATTTCCTGGCATGTCATAAGTTATTATTTCTATATGAGTCCGTTTTGGACTTTCTGCATGAGAGCGCCCTCTGGCTTCGAGTATGAATGAAACATGCACTGCATGAGAGTGTTTAGTGCTCTATAATGTTCACATCACCTCATTTTGGTGAATAAACCATCAGGTCATGCATAGACTATCCTGTCTCTTTGACTTCAAACGTACATTTATTTACACTGGCCCTAGAAAAGCTGTACGTGAACACACCTGCCTGGAAAAAGTGCAGGGGACTAATTTACATTTTATTAAAAGTCCACCACGTCCCCTGCGTATTCTATGCCCATGAGGTCTCCACATATACAGAGGCAAAAGAGAGACTCACTGGTGACAGCTGTGCCACTCCCAGGTGTGACGAGGTTGGTTGGGCATGAAATCAGCCGTCCCTTGGTTCTTCACTCTCTGAGGGAAGCGCAGAAGAACCCTGACACTGTAATCTGTGGTTTCAGCACTATAGGCGGAGCTGAGGAGGGAAAAACATTAATGAGGGACGGCAGCACTGAGTAATGAAACATGTTGTATATATGAGATGAGCTCATAACAGCAGGCTGGAATTTATATGATGTGACACCACCCATACTTCTGCACCAGACATCATCTAACACTCTTCTCGTTAGTTGTTTGAAGTATTATTGTATGGTGTGGTGTAAACAGTTGTAAACGAGTGTGGGAGGGTTATTGTGTAAATACTGCCTGACCAGCTTTGTTTTGCCATTTCATAAATAGAAGAACTGAGGATTCTCACCCGGCCAAACACTTCTCCTCTGCAGCACAGCGTAAGGAGTACATATGGGCTCTTTGAATGTATGTGGAGGCTTGGACATAATTCGGGTCAGGAACCAGGTCAGGCAAACCTAAAAACAGGAGACATCATCAGGGTTACAGTGTAGAACCAGCTGCTGAAGCACATCTCCTGAAATTACTCTGAAGGGGAAAAACTTCTTAACTAGTCTTAGTAGGTCATAGCTGGTATTCAACCCTGGTCAAGCTGATTTTCAGCTGGCTTGTAGAATAAAATGCACCAAAATCCCCCTAAACCCACATGATAAATGTCTAAATAACTTTAAAACCACCACCTGGTCACCTAAAAAGTATCTAAACCCACTGTAAAACCACCAAACTGACCAGTCTGACCATGATGAACATGTCCAAAACTACTCTAAAACCACCAAACAGACCAGCCTGGCCACCTTAAAAACACCCCAAACCACCATAAAACCAAAAAACGGACAAGTCTGACCACCTGCAAAGTGTCCAAAACCACTCTAAAAACCACCAAACTGACTGGTCTGACCACCCAAAAAGTGTGCAAAACTCTAAAAATCTCCAAACTGATTGGTCTGACCACATAAAAAAGGTCCGAAACCACTTGAAAACCACCAAACCAACTGGTCTGATGAACTGAAATGAGTCCAGAACTCTAAAACCACCAAACCGACAAGTTTGACAACCTAAAGTGTGTCCAAATGCCTGGCCACCTGAAAAGTATCCAAAACTACTCTGAAACCACCAAACAGACAAGTCTGACCACCTGCAAAGTGTTCAAAACCACCAAACCGACCAGTCTGATCATGTTGAACATGTCCAAAACTACTCTAAAACCACCAAACAGACAAGTCTGACCACCAAATGTCCAAATCCCTTTAAAACAAGCAAACAGACCAAGAAAAGTGCACCAAAGCAGCAAACATACCATCTTTGGAGATCAGCTTTGACCATAAAAACCAGACTGTTTTTTTTTTCAGCAGGATAAAAACAATGTCAGGTCTCATAACACACTGTCCTGGGGACAAATGTGCTTCTTTTATGTTCTGAGCTGTTCTGATGTTACATGCTTTTAAATGTAAAAAAAAGTAAAGTATTTGAAAAATGGCTGTATCCAAATAAGTATGCCTTTGAACAAATACACAAGAGATGAAGAGGGTTTTGAGGAGGTAATGCTGAAGCCTCACAGTATAATGCATCAAACACCATTTCTCATCTGGTTTTAAGGTCACGCAAAAATAAGAAAAAAAGAACAAAGTGTTGCATGTAGAGAGGGAGAGAGAGAGAGTACAAAAGATGAGGGAGAGGTGACAGCGAAACGAAAATGAGATCACTTCCCTGCTGGATCCAAATCGGGCCTGTGACCACGTTTGTTAAAAAAAAAAACAGAAAAAGAAATAAAAAAGAAAAACAGAGCTAGTGGTAACAGCTAATGTTCATAAAACTCTGTACAGGGCCAATACAGAAACTACTTATCACCTTTGTTTACACTTAAAATACAAGCTCACTTTATGTCTAAATAATCTTATGAATATAATAACAGTGCAGTCTAAGTCCGTAGGTGGACATTAACATTTCTTCAAAGGGAAGGCGACAGCATATTTGCTTTCCTGCTTTGCATGTCATGGATTTCAGAGAAAAGAACCCTGTTGAGAAGATCAGCACCGATGGACTCCAGTGTATGATACTGGAGTCCCACTAGGCCTCGTAATTACCTTAACCAGCAAGACTTGGATGGTCATCCAGCAGCATTTTTTTACTGACAGTCAGACCAGCAATAACAAACATAAACCAGCTTGGAGTAGCATGAAAATTCAGCTGCTTCCAGCTAGCAACAATGTGGAGTGCAGATCTAATCTCACTTCTGCTGGAGGCATGTTTAGAGTTGGGAGAAACTTTCACTCTATAAAACATAATGCCCTTGGTCAGTCTCCTTATTTCAGACTCGTCAGTGCCGCCCTTCACTGGAGTCAGTGAATGCTTTGCCATCTCCATCTCTGTGTACACATCTGATTTGCCAGCTTGGTCTGAAACAGACTTCAGGAAAGGCCTCAGGAAACTTCCTTGGTCAGCTTTTGTAAACAGTGTAAAGAGAGTGTGAAAGACTGTGGTTATCCAGCAAAAGTTTCTTCACACAGTCTGCACTTTTCTCCACAAAATTCTGTTGGATGCCTGCACTACACCAAAGTAGTTGACTTAAACTCCTCATAAAGTCCACAAGAATTTAGAAAAACATGATGACAGTATACTGTTTTTTTAGTAAGATGCAAGTAAAATAAATGAATGTCCTCTGGTCAGATACAGGCCAGATCTCAACATCCATCTTAAAGAGGTTCAATGCTATGGGTCAAGTCAAGTAAATGTGTCCCGTCTAATGTTATTTCAATTTCTAAGACTCAGATTCACAGATAATATATGTTCCCGCAGGCTGGAGCTCTGATTTCAACTTATTTGTTTGTGATTGCATCATTGGGTAATGAGTAATGTCAATTTTTTCCACGTGTACCTTCCAGTGGATTGAGTTTACACCCATTTCCCTTATGACCAGATTTTGTAAACTAGGGTGATTAGTCGTGCGTGACTCAAGCAAGAGACAAAGACCATTTCACATTACAAAATGAACTTTGGCAGTGGCCAGAAACTCAGTCCCAAAGGCCTTACACACACCCGCCTCCTCACACACGTTCACATATACGCACACACACACACTTTTATTTAGGGGCTAGCAAAATATTTTCTGTTTCCTGAGGCAATGGACCCCATGTGTGCTGGGTACTTTCCATCTCCCCACTCCTTATGTAGTAACACCCCACAATCCCCCACACACACATGTTCACCACCCACCCCGCAACAACCAAGCCACTTGAGCCCCTTACCCCACCCTCTAAAGCAAATACTGGGATCATTCACCCGTAGCCCTCGCAGGGCAGTCATCACCAAAACCAGAACCAAATCTTCAAACAATGAGCACTCTTTGTGCAGAACGAGTATCCATAGGCACTAAGCACACACACCAAATACCACATACTCTTACACCCACGCACACATCCCACAACTCCTGGTTCCAATAACCCAGCCTCTGAGATGAAGAAGGACTTGGAACTTCTTTGATTGTAAATTGAAACACAATGGCAATGGGGTGATGGGAATGAAAGATGCTCTGACATTAGGAGAGAGTAATTTTTACTGACTGCTTATGAGGAAACAAACAGACAAATTTGCTCAAAAGCAATGCCCATTACCAGCTGCGTAAGCAAACAGCTTTACAATAATTTTTGTGCAGTTTGAGTCCCTTGGGTTACATGTTTGCTAAATCCAAAGGGCTGCCAGGAAACACAAAGAGATGGCAGAAGAACTACATTTTTTAGATGTCTCTCTGTTTTCCTCACTTCCTTTTCTTGAGAGAGAGCGAGAATCTGAAACGAGCCCCACACGTGCATCCATTTCCCCAAATCTCCAGCCGTGCTAGAGCTTAAGTGCCAACTGTAATTCCTCTGTGATTAACTTTACTTAGCATAGCAGCCTACAGCATTGCTCGACACATGAATCATGACGAAACGCAGTAGCATTCAGTGCAATATATGTAAAACACACTTTCTGGACTGCTAGTCTATGATCAAAACTATTGAGTAACATTAGTGTGGGATGTACAAAATGATTCTTTCACAAGTGTATACGACGTGGATATGCATCATACCTCTTTGCTGGGGACGATAAACACTCCCTGCATTCATGTTCGGGCTCTCTGCGTTGTTAGAGATGAGAGGGTTGCGTGGAGGTGGTTGCACAAACGCAGGCTGTGGTTGGGGCCTTCCAAAGGGGGGAAACTGTTCATACTGGGGGCTTTGCACCGCAGGCTGGAACGATGAGCCTGTGTTGCTAGAGACAGGTACTGCAGCATCTCGAGATTCCCCGTTGTACAGACTGTGCATGTACCTGTGGTCCAATCCATCAGAGACCGGTGGCTGTGCAGGCTGAGCAGGAACAGCTTGGTATGGTTGACCGTAAGGGGGATAGTATCGATACCTGTCTTCGGTTGCAGGATCCCCTCCATTATAGCTACCTCCTCCAAAACTTCCAGTAGAGTACCCACCTCCTCCATATCCTCCGCCTGCATAGCCACCACCAGTGCCAGTGGAGTACCCTGTTCCACGGAAGGGAGGTTCGTATGACCTGTCCAGAACCGAGTCATAAGGAGGCTGTTGAGGGAACGGATACTGTGGATAAGAAGAAGAGGATGAGGAGGAGGAGGAGGATGAGCCGGAGGATGGTCTAAAGCGAGAGCCGGTAGATGACTGGAAGCGACTCGTTTCACCTGTTCCAGCTGCACCTTGACGCCAGTTGTCCGGCACCTGGCCAAACCCAAACGGATGTCTGGCTTGGCCTCTCACAGTCTCAGAGCTTCCTCTGGAGGGTGCTTGCCTCCGTACATTCCCACCCTGTGATCGACGGTTGGGAGCATCTGCTAAAAGCACTCTGTGGTTCCTGTCACGCTCCTGAACCCGAGCCGGGACGTACTCAGCCCCACTGTTGAGAAGACTGAACACACGTCCATTGTTCTCCCATTGAATCATCTGTCTCCATGGGTTTGAGTCGTCAGTCTGAGATTGATGCTGAGATTGGGACTGTCCCCCTACGCTTCCAAGCAACACCCAAACCCACCATGTCACGAAAACCACAGGCAGCATATTTACAAGACTTGCATGGAAACTTCCAAGCAACTTCAGAAAAGAGTGGACAGTGAAACTTCAAATTGTATCCCTTGATCCAGAAGGTTAAAGGTGAAAAGGCATAGAGGACTTACAGTGTTCATGTGCAAATCAGACTACATGCAGTGAAGAAACTTTGTCCTTGGTTCAGTATGTGGTGCAGGCATTGCTGTGAAGAAAGGCAGATGATTTCTGAGGCCCCAGGGCAGGCTGCAGTATGAAAAACCTCCCTCTTCCTTACTGTCCGGATGTTGAGTTGTTGTCAGTGGACTGACCATTGCTCTCAGGCACTCTCAGGAGATGACTGCCTGTTGCTCTCCTCTGCACTTCACTATTTGCCTCTCTGACTGCTTACAATGGTCTGTGAAAAAAGAAAAAAAATTCTCATCTCCCCCTCCCTCTCTCTCTCTCTCTCTCTCTCTCGTTCCTGCTCCCTCGCTCACTCAATCTAACATGTTATTTTTTTGAGATCCCACATGGCCCTAGTGCTAGAGCTGTTTCCTAAATTCCAGCAAAGCCAAGTCTTTGCACAGGTTTCCAGAGTCAACATCACCATCTGTGAAGGGACTTGAATATCTAGCGTGCCTGCGCTGACTTCCTTTGATCCTTCTGAACAAGCAGGGATGTCTGGTGCGTGGCCTAGGTTCATCCACCCAGGTGCTAGGAGAGCTGTGACTTTGTCTCATGTTTTTCCAAACACAATTTTTTGCACCCATCATCATCATCATCATCACAGCAGAAGAGAGGACATTAATACGGCAGGATGTTTAAAAATCCAAGTTATATACATGACAGGAGGCCAAAAAAGTCAGCAGAATTTGGAACAATCAGTTCCATTTAAAAGCACTTTCCAGTAAACAAAGATAGATGAAAGCAGGCAAATATGCATCACTTACACTACAAAACCTAATAACATTCTACAAGCCTTATTTAAATATGCAGAGGGAGCCCACACTCAGTAAACATTGGTATATGTAACAGATATTAACATAATGTAAATAAACTATAAAGATTGGAAACTAATCCTGAGTGCATGGTATTAAAATTTAGCCCTGTCTTTAAACATTTGTACCAGTAGGAGCTGAACTCACAAACCAAAATCACATTACTACTTCTGTAGCCAATTATTGCTACCACAGTTACAATATTGCGGATACATATCTCACAAAATGCTATTTCTGAAATATTGCATTGGGCTCATATCTTTAGAGTGGACCGAACTGAGGTAATAAATCATGCACGATTTAAAGGGAAACTTTAAAAACCTTAAAAAGAACATTATTTTGTGTATTTGGTGTAATGCAATGTGATTGAAAAAACACATTATTTTCCACGTACCGTACATTATTGTCACTCCTCTCTGCTCCGCCTTTCTGAAATGTGTAAATTTTTACAAAGCTCATCGTTCTGTAAAGCACTGATTGGCCAGCTATCCAGTGCGTTATGATTGGCCGAATACCTCAAGCGTGTGACGGAAATGTTATGCCCCTTACTTATTTAGAAACACACAGTATCTCCACGACATGTCGGCGGCGGCAACAATACTACAGCGAGAATAAAAGTTATGCATTCTTTCAAAACATTTGGGCGGTGTTATGCAAATCTTCCCACACAGTGATGTAGACATGTGGGGGTGTGTTTGAATGAGGCGTTTTAGGAAGGCGTGGATGAGTCCTAACCTTTAGAAAGATTATATCTTTGTGTTTGAGACTTTAATCTTTGCGACTTTACAGATCTTATATATGCACGGACAGCTTGTTACACTCCAAAGACAAAGGAAAACATGAAATCATGTCATATGACCCCTTTAAGCTTGTTAAAAACACAGTGTGTTAAGGCTGCTGATCTCAAGATATAGTGCATCAGCTCCCAGGATTGATGTTCCTGCTTACTTTGACTGGATGGGTTAACAACTAAGGGCTGAATATATTTTTGACTTCTGAAGACGGATGAGGGCTCATCTGGCTTCTGACTATTAATGGTCAGCAGCTGGTTGCAACAAGCTCCTTATGTTAAGAAAAACTAATACCTGTAACATTTCAACTAAGGGTTTTTAATAACTTAAAGGGATTGTTCTGACACTCACTACTCAAAACATTCGGGATGCCATAAAATGTATGCCACAGCTTTACGTGATGATAATGAAAGAAAGTTTACTAAACTTTCCACCACCATGTGCTTTGGCAGCTCTTTGGCAGGCTTGATTTGACTGTGCATTTAGCCCCAGAAATCACTAGCTGTGATCGCACCTCCATCTTTGACATCTAAGTGTCTCGAATTCGACGCAAAGGTCTTAAAATACTCGGAGACTCTTAACATCCTCCCAGCTGCCTCTTATCACCCCTCCCCGCAGGCAAGAGCCTCGAGCTGATTAAGATGAAACCCATTCATTTTCTCAACTCTGCTTACTGTTGAACTACTGAATTCCCCTCCAATTATACATCAGCGCATTGTGTTGATTTCTAAAGCACACTAATATTTTATTACAATAGCCATTTACTTTATTTATACAGAGATCTGTCCAATGAGACCGTTCAAGTTTTATAGACAATAATGTGTTCTCTTTATGTGAGATTTATTGCAGTGATATTCACCCAAATTCTGTCTTAACTGACTCACCCTCATGTCGTTCCAAAGCTGCATGACTGTCTTTCTTCTGTGGAACAAAAAGGAGAATTTGCACAATATACTGGTTCAATCTTTAACCTTAAACGATTCATAAAAGTAGTCTATTTCACTTCTAATGTGGAATCTGATGTGAAATATCTAGTCCACACGATCCATGGCACTATTATTTTATTATGTCATATGAGAACTTTTTGTGAGAAACTGATTGAATTTAAGTTATTTACTCATAATCTTCTCCCATGAGCTTGAGAAATGCTATGATTATGGAATCAGTGAGTTAATTCATAAACAGATTTTTGAATCTTGAATTGTTAAATTGTTTAAATTTCGTTTTAAAGTGTCCTTGTTACAGTGTAATTATACATTTATGTAGTGAGTAACAATAATTAACTACATGTACTTACTATATGGTTAGGGTTCGTCTTAGGGTTACTTGCATGTAATTTTGCATAATTTATTGTTATTATAATAGTAAGTACATGTAACATGTGTAACAAGGACACCTTAAAATAAAGTGTTACCCAAAAATTCAGTACTTGTAATTAGATTAGTACATTTAAAATGCTCATTCATGATGTTGATAACAAAGAATGGAATATATTTGATTTATGTTTTCTTAATAAAAAAGTCGATCTTCCTGTTTCCTGAATGTGGAAGTCTCATCCAACTCATACTAGAACAATGCTTTACATCTCATGGTCTCTCGCGTTTCTAGTCAAAATAATGTATCTTCTGAGCTGATAATATAACGTTAAACCAACGAAAACGGCCCGAGGTTAGCTGCATTGAAAACAGATGAGTTCACATATTCAATCTTTTTACCCTGTTTTAACATGGATTTCTGTGGAGACCGGAAGACGACAGCATCCAAATGGAAGTTAGAATCCATCATGGCAGCACTAATCGGTTACTCAGGAAAAAGTTGGATAAACAAGTTCGCTCATAAGTAATAAGAGTAATCCAAAAGTAGTCAGAAAGTAGTCATTACCTAAAATGAGTAATCTAAATTACATTACTGACTGCAATTTATATTGTTATGTCCCAGTGAGTGCTGGGCCTGTGTTTTTTCTTGTTTTGTTTTTGGTTTGCAGGTATACTCTTTATTGTGGGTGTGTCTTCCCACCTGAGCTCATTATGCGGAGCTATAAAAACTGCAGCGCTGATGAGGACGGGGGCACGATGTGACCACGCTAGCCGGGCTTGCCGCTTGCTCTATTGTTTTGATGTTTATTTTGTTTGCATACAGTTCAGACCTTGAGCCTACAGTCCACTGCCATGCACGCTTTCAACACTGACTTACATTAATACTGACTACTGACTGTTTGAATACCTTTATTAATTAAGTTTTTGTTAAATATACTACTTTTCTTTGCTACTTGCTGGTCCGTGTTGGCTCTCGTTTATGTTGCAATTTGGAGCCGGTTGTAACGATATCATCTAATATGTAATCAGTAACATACTACAGTTTATAAGTAATCTACTCAGCAGTGACATCAGTGTCTAAGTGCAAATAGCTCACCTTGTTGGCAGAGGCTATTTACACTAACTCCGCTCACCAATGTGTGATTGAGACACTCAAGATTACAAAAGACAGCTGTCAAAACAACAGCTCCAGTGACGTAGTGAATCGTATGCTGTAGTCTTTTTAACTCGTGTTCGAATCCGCCTTTTGCCGACCTCTTTCTTCTCCATTTTCAAATCTAATATCACATCGGAAAGCCATTAATTTTTAATACAAATGAAGAAAATAATCGAAAAGTTGAAAAAGTATAGGGTAGGGTGCAGCTGAGGGCTTCAGTGTCCCAATTAAAGTGGCATCCATTTAATAATTTGAATTAAAATTATAATTTACACTCAATACGTTATTATTGCATACGGTTTTATAATGTACAATACGGAGGTGCAGATATTTGCCACTATTTGCAATAAGTAGTATAAATAGCAGAACATCCTGCTATTTTTACATAGTGTAAATATAATCTATAGCTATTTGCACTTAGTGTATATCACTTAGAAAATATGCTGTTTTCACTTAGTGTAAATATCATCTATCCCTATTTGTACTTAGTGTAAATAGCATCTATCACCAAGAAAATATGCTATTTTCAGTTAGTGTAAATAGCCGCTGCCACTTAATCCCAAGTAGGTCTATAATTTCTGGTAAAAAAACAACAACTAGTATTCCCAGTTATCTCTGTTCTGCTCATCTGGCACAGGATCTCCTGGAAGCACCTGATTTGAAGTCTGCCATCTGTGCTCATGGGAGCTCAATTCTAGACACCATTGCTTTGAGCTAGTTAATTTTATCACTTTAGTCATTGCATTTATTCCGAACAATTATTTTAAGGGAGACTCAGCGTCCCTTGCCTCTTCTGATGGACCGCCGCTGCTGTCGAGCCATAAAGCACTGGAAAGAAAAACAAGATCAGAGAGCTAAAAGCGCATTAGTCTTTGGTGTGGAAGACCGCCTTTGTCTTTCGCTGAGCCGTATCTCTTTGATTCGATTATACTTGCAGAATATTGATATGTGCTATGCACCAAATTTCTTTATTTTGTTATTGCCTGCTGTGTCCTACACTTTTACAGCAGACGAGTTAAAAAGCCATGTACTCTGTACAAGGGGAAGCAGAGGATTAGATTACTGCATGACATTGGAATGAATTTTGGGACAGTGAGTTCAAATTGTTCCAAATATCAGATTTCGCCATCCGTTGTTATCAA